GCCCGAGCACAGCACTGAGGCTCTCGTCAGTGGGAAACGGATGCTCGCAGTCCCCGGCGTGCAGTGGGGTCACAAGCCATCATCTCTGGTGATCGTGGTAAACAGCCACAGGGAACGTCGAAGGGCTTCTGGCCTTGGCCGCCAAGCTTGTCACAGCAGTGAAGGAGAAGAGAGCGCCCAAGCCCATGAGGAGAAGCCCCTTCCTCCCGCTGCGTCTCTCCGGAACCCTCCACGGACAAAGCTTAACGCTGTGCCAGCTGGCAAAGAATAAGGCCCGCGCTAGTGGTACAGAGTAGGGCAACCCGAGTGGGCACGGGGTTGAGAAGCGCACACTGAGGGTCGGCTGGTGCGCCTTGCGAGGGGAGGGTGGTGCGGCGGCGGCCGGAGGGATGCTCCCGGGCGGTGTTGGAACGTGCCACAAACGCTCTGCATCCCATTCTCAGTTAGCCTCACACACACACACACACACAATGAGGTCATTTCTCCCTGCTTCCCACTGAAATACCAGCAACGCAGAACAAGAAGAAAACTCTTACCAACACCAGAAACCAAGACAGACACCTGGGATCTGCGAGGATTCCTCCTGATTTCAAAATGCACAAGGGCTGAATTGAGAAACACCATTGGAAGCCGAATCATTCAATCATTTTTTTTTTCCCTGGGGAAAAAGCCCAGTGTATGACTTCCCAGCACGGAACGAAGCCATGCTCAATGGAGAGGGGAAACAGGGTGTTCTCTCTTTGCTCCCCGGCCCCTGTAGGGACCAGAAGGCGGGCACTGCTGTTCGAGGGTCACAGGCCTGTTCCCTGTGCATCAGTCCTCGCCAGTGCAACCCTTTCTTTGCTATTTCGCGACTTCAGGTCAGGGAGGACAACGAATTTCATGGGTGAAGGGGGAGTGGGGACAGGGGAGAACTAGCAAATGCCATTGGGTCCTGATAGATGATTGTCCCGAAGGTAAAAATGCTGCAGGGTATCCTTTATACCAGATGTTGGAAACCAGGAGATAAATTTTCAGAATAAAAGCATGGCGCAGTTTTATACAGAGAAATCCTACTATCTTTATACACAGGACAATGAAGCAATGTGCCCTGGGTTCACTGGCAATTGAGATAGAGAAAAGGTAACATCTTTTAAAAGGGCAATTACTTATCAAAGAAACGAACAAAAGGAAAGCAGAGGAGGAAGTTTTAATCCCAAACAAAGCAGAATACAAAGACAAAAGCCCTTAGAGGAGCATAAGGGTTGGCATGAGTTATAACGTAATAAAGATAAAACGGCCACAGGCAGTTACTCACCTAATTATTTAACACCAAAATTTAAAAAGCCAGAACTGTTTGTAATACAAAGGAAAAGTGAAAGAAGCACAATTGTTTGGAAGGTAATGTTGCATTCTCAACCTTTTCTAGAGCAGGTAGAGAGAAAAATCAATAGAGGGGAAGTGCAAATGATGAAGGGATGAGTTGTCACCAGTGTCAACCGCTGTGAGGAGCCCGTGCCCTGGGAAAGACGACAATGTTCTTCAGAGTCAACACTGCGGATCTGATGGATGCACCATTAGGGAGGGTCAGGGAGTTGCAATCAATGTTCCCACTGGGTTCATGTGACTGGAGGAACACAATTCTGCTGCAGGAGAAACCACACACCCATCAGCGATTCTCTCCTATTAGTGAGTTCTTGACTTGACCTTGTGAATTTCCAAAGTAGGTAAAAAGAGTTCTGATGATCTGCAAGCAAATCCACTCACAGATAAATGAACCTATTAGTTCCTGGGTTATATCTCGAACACGCCACACTCCAAACCTCACGGCATGAATAAAAAAATAATGGTTTCCACTTTCCAAAGTCATCAACACAGCCCTGGATGGGTTGGGGCCTACCTGATGCTCTAGCTCATGGGATGCTGTGGCACGTTGTGCGGGGCCTTCCCCTGACGTGGCCAGAGCTGGAAAGCAAGACTGCACTAAGCTCTTACCAAGCCCTCGTGGCCAAAGCCTGGAACACCCAGCTTGGTTCTCAAGACTAAGGGGTTCATGATCAGGACACTAAGCCCAAGGGGCCATAAACCAGGGTAGCCCTCATAGCAGAATGGGAAACGAGGTGAAGAGAGAGATCAAAGCCAATGGGCCCGAGCCAAGGATTGTGAACGTCACTGAAGAGCCTCATTTAGACTCACTGGCTCTCAGCTGAGGCTCCGTGGGCCAGCCAGGCTGGTTAAAGATGCAACACTGCAGGAAAGACAGGCCACTGGCCGTCACTGGTTAAATACAAAATGGATAACACATCTGCTGCCGCCAGGCATCTGTCCACTCTCCCTTGCCCATTTCAGTATTAATGGAATTCAGGTCATAAGGGGTAAGGAGGAGGTAGCCAGGAATCCCTCTCACTGTGCCCAGAATTTGAGGGTTTCATATTATGGTCTATCTACATCTACAACTGGGATTGATACAAAGATGCAAAAAGGCTCCTTCTATCCTTTGAAGAGTATGGACAGATTCAGATTTTAAATCTGTTCAAAAAGCAAATATATGGGATCTATTAGGTTCCCTGTGTATCAAAATTTACTATATTGCTCTGATTTGCTGGCGGAGAAGGAAAAGCCAATTTGCATGGTTCCTGTCAGTCACATGTGGTTTGGAATTGCTTATGCATTCCAGATACACTCTGTGTAAACTGGAGAATTGTATCTTATTTCTACTGGTTTGCATGCATGCATATGAAACTTGTTTACCCCCAATGCCAAGCAAAAATAGGTGAAGAACTAGCAGCAGTGATCGCAGCTAATCAACTTCTTTGTCAAAACATCACAGCTGCGATGGGTGAGAATTCTTGTCCCTCGGGTCTATAGAGGCTGTGACTTCTATTTTTCTAGTTTTTTATTCAGTTCTGTTCCATGGAGCATCGAGAGCTAAAGTCAATCAACACACAGTTTCTGATACCTACTATGCGCCCAGCTCTCTGCTGGGCACTGAAAGATACTGAGCAGAATTCCTGCTTCAGGGAGCTCAGAGTTTAGTCGGAATGAACAGCAAGTAAATAATGAGTTACCACCCAGTGTGCTAGCTGCTTTTGTAGAGTGTGGGTAGGATATAAGACCCTGTGGCAACCAGGAAGGAGATTGCCAAAACTCCAAAGAAGGTGAATCCTGATGGTGGAGTATGAGCTGAAGCGAAGAGGGACTGGAAGACGTTCAGGAAAGTAGGAACACTTTGTGCAAAGACATGAAGCTCATCAAGAACACATGTTCCAGGGACCCAAAAGAAATTCTGTGTGGCTTGAGGCCAGAGGTGGAGCCAGTGGAGAAAACAATTTGAAAACACATGAGAGAGAGAGGCAATAATCCTAGTAAACAATGTTATTTTAATAGTCTACATCCTGGTGTTAATATTGGAAGATGTTTGCTAGCTAAGAAGACCCAAGAGTTGCAGATGAACCAGCGAGCATTCCAGTGTGCTTCATCCTAACCCTACCCCTTACTGCTTCTCCCTTTGAGCGCTTACAGCAGTGCCTGGCAGAGAGATGGCACTGAGTGAATGTGACTTGCTGTTGCTGCATGGGGCAGGTGGGCTTTAAGATGGGCCCTAATGATCCAGGCCCTGATGCAAGCCTCTCCCCTTGAGTATGGGCTGGACTTATTGACACGTTTCTAAGGAATAGACTGTACCAGAGTGATCGGTTGTCATTTCCAACATTATGTTATAAAAAGACTGTGGCTTCCCTTTTGGGACGTCTCTCATGTCCTCAAATGCTCTGGCCTTCTTTGTCTCTTGGATCATTAGCTTCCATGTCATAAGAACACTCCGGTGGCTTATGGAGAAGTCCACGTGGCAGGGAACTGAGCCACGCCCATGTGAGCACGTCCACTGTCAGCACCTATGTGAGTGAGTTTGGATGCCGACCTTCGGAGGCCTGCCAACAGCCACCCGAGGGAGCCTGGAAGTGAATTCCCCGGCTCTAATCACGCCTTGGGGTTACCGCAGCCTTGGCCAACAGCTGGGTGGAAACCTCCTGAGAGACTCGAAGCCAGAGGTACACAGCTGGTCTGCACCCAGATTCCTTGCTCACAGGAACTGTGATAAGACACTAAATTTTGGTGTACTTTTCTGTGCAACAAAAGATAACTAAAATACTATCCTAGTACTATCTCCTTCCATTCCCTAATCAAAGCTGGGTTTCTGGAATACCTACATTGGGTATGGTAGTATCAGAGTTTCTTCTTAGTGAGGGAGCACTGCCTGGAAACTTGGCTTTTGTGACTAGAATCCCAGTCGCCTGACACCTCACTCCTTGATGGACCAACCCCAGTGACCTGTGCCCCATGCAACTGATGACCATTCACAGAATGAGTCTGGCCCAGCTACGGCACAGAGTCCTGGGTTTGGCTTGCCCACCACCTCCCGATCCCGTCAGCGCCAACCTCGGGTCCACCAACACTACGGACTGCAGTCCCCCCACCAGTGGCGGCAGAAGTCCCGGGAACCTTATCTAGGTGACCACCATCACAGAGGCCCACAGGAAGACACACTGAGCTACTGTATTCTTGCTTTCTGTATGTAACTCTCATCAATTATACAACACACCTTAGAAACTAATTGTTAAACTTATTATATACACTGTCTAGGTGGGAACAAGTGGGAGAACATAGATTCCTTGTGGAACACTGGGTTTTTGGTAGCACATTTTTGGCAGTTTATACAACAAGGTTAATTTAAAGGCAGTGGTTTTACGCGCAAGAAAAGTTTTAAGACCTTGTAAAGATGTTAAATATTTACATAAAATATTATGTTCAGCTAAGGAATGAAAAACAAAATATAAAACCCAAATGTGCCTTCTACCAATGGTTCTTTGCTTACTACTTCTGTCTTTTTAGTAATTCTTAGACCCCTGTTTTAGTTAGTGATTAAGTACCCACTGCATACACAATGCTCTGTGTGGAAACGCTAGCAGTCTATCACAGCCACAAGAAAAAGAAAGGAAGAAAGAAAGAAAGGAACTTTGTACCTCTGTCCCAGGTGGTTTTGCTCCTCCTGCTCTGAGGCGCAGTTATTGGGGACTGAAGGACGTATGTGGGTGGATGTCCTCAGAGCCACCGCTGAGATGCCCACCAATGAGGAGGAGAAGTTCAGCAGCGCGGAGGCGGTGCGGTGCAAGAGGACTTGCGGGTGGTGGCTCACATTGATAGCCAGTGGGTTGCGCTGGCATGACAGTTCGTAGGTTCCTGAAGAGAGATAAGGATGTGAATCACATTTTAAACCCTTCATATACCAAAGCGATTCTCAACTGGTGTGCTCCAAGAACTTTTAAAACATGCAAGACCTGACAATTTAATCAGGGGCACCAACCTCTTTTCATTCAAATTGTCCAAAAAAAATGACAACAGCCAGCCTAACAATAGCTGTCTGGTGCGAATGAATCAAAATTATACCTATTTGTTGTCAGATCAGCAAAACATATATACAGTTTTTTGGTGTGCTACAGAATTTTAGTAATTAGTTTATGTGTGCCTTGAGATGAAAAAAGGTCGAGAATTGCTGGTGTAGCACCATTTTTCCACAACTAGCATACATTTTATCCCCTCAGTAGCTGTGTGACATAAGCAAGACCCAAACAAAGATCAGAGACAGACATGGAGTTGACTCCTGGTCTACTGGATTGTTCTCCGGCGCCCCTGTGGGGATAACTGTCAGACTCACCGAGAGAGTGGTTGTTTCCACTGACGTCAGTCAGGTGAAGGGTCACTGTCGGCGGCTGTTTGCCAGACACCAGGCCATCAGAAGTCAGGAAAATAAAAATCGCCGTGGCCACCCCTGGCCTATCGAAACACACCTAGGCATAAGCACAGGTACGTGTGAGCCATTGTCTCCCCTGGGCTACCGAGACGTTAAATAAGAGCTCCCTTCTCCCCATGGAGCAAGCACAGACAGGTACCCAAGGTCGCACTGAAAGTTCAATAAAATTAGATGGAAGGAAGATAGCTTTCAGCTACTGGGCTTCCCATCTTCTCCTGAGACTTTTTACCTCAACTGTTTCTTTTTTGTTTGAGCTGGTCTTTCTTTAAATGTCTTGAAAGGCTCAAAGAGATCATTGCTAGTGACAATGACACACCACATCACCAGCCAACACCTCCCGATCTCCAAAGTGAGACTGGTGGGCAGGTGGGCACCAGGCTGCCCTCAGCTGTGGATTGGCACAGCCAGCTCATCTTCCTCGCCCCCACCTCCCTCCCCCGAACACTGTCATCGGAGCCTCTCACACTGCACATGAACGAGGACGTAGGGGAGAGGTTATGGCGGAGCCTGCTGTTTCTGAGGTTAGGAGCCGCCAAGCCGAGTGTTCTCACGTGGGTCTCCTGGTGCCCCAGGCACAAATGTCCTGCCCATGGCTAGAAACTAAGCCAACACTGAGGCACAAACAAACAGTTTGGTCGTTTGTAAGCAGTATTCCTAGATGCCTAGGCTGATTAACAATAAATGAGTCTTTCATAGTATGGAAGTCTTGTCCCTGGAAATCCTTTCCTATAAGAGAAAACATCTTGGGGATTGGGGGGTGGCCTGGAGAGCTTGTTTTCCACACTGAAGTCATCTGAGGCGGTCATCCTGGTTTTGTTTCCCAAGAGCTCAGCATTACTCCTTTTTCCTTCAGATTCGCATAGCGAATTTTTTATTTCCATATAGGACTCTATTTATTTACCCTTCAGATTATGTACATATTGAAGATATTTGTTTACTGATCACAAAATACTTTTAGTCTATAAAGTGGCAATTAAGTATCCTTTTTAAATTAAATTTATTGGGGTGACATTGGTTCATAGGGACATACAGGTTTCAGGTATACATTTCTATGTTATATGATCTGTATACGGCATTGTCACCCGCTACCCAAAGTCAAATCCCCTTCTGTCACCATAGAAGTAGCCCCTTTAACCCTGGTAACCACTATGTATAGCAAAAAAGGAGGGGACATACTAGGAAATCGTAAGTGTATTTGACTCTCTTTTTCTCCTCTCTAATTGAGTTTATTGGGATGACAGTGGTTAATAAGATTATATAGATTTCAGGGGTACCATTCTACAATACATCATCTGTATACTGTACTGCATATTCAACATTACTCTTAATTTCTGCTGAGAAGAAATTCTCGCCTTCCCTGGTGTTCCGTGAGAGTCACATTACTTGAAACTGTGTACACTTCTACAGCTTTTCATCAGGTCCTGAGGGTGATGAAGCCCCAAGACAAGTGTCCTCAGGGCAAAAGCAAGGTACCACATCAAATGGCAGTGACTTCCTCTAAAAACGGGGGCAGGAGAGTAAAACATGTTTTTCATTTTAACAGGAATTCTTCCTCGTCCGCAGACTGCATTTTCCTGAGTCTCAGTCGTGTGTTTATAGTGCTCATTTGCACTGCTGGCTTAATTAGGTAGATTTTATGACTTGCGGTGGTCGATGAAGTACAAGTCTCCCTTCTTCCTCTCCTCCTTTGAGGGAAAGACCAGCCACACTCTCTTTTTACTGTGTCTTTTTTCCCCCTTTTTCATTTCCCTTCTTTGAAGTAATAAATATTCCTTTATAACTTAAGAAATATCCAGACCCATAGGTTACGACTTGCAATACGAGGTCCTCTGTGCCCAGCTGGCTGCAGGCTGGACATGAAACACACCGTAGGGTAACCGGCAGCCTCACACGGAGCCCTCGGCTCTGGCGGCAAAGGCCACCAAAGTGCCTGGGGACTCCCACAGCCCCCTGCCTCCGCACACCACCAGAGAGACCAGAGAGCTGGAGGAGAGCTCTAGGGTGTTTCCTGAGCCAGGAACAGACAGGCTCTAAACAAGTGCCTGGTGGCTTTACCTCCCAGTAGGCCTCAGACTTGAAGGGTGGGGTGGGGTGGGGCGTGCAAGGAGGAGCAGAAGGGCTCCGTCTCTCCCACCTCTGTCACCACCCCATAGACCCCACCCCCGTGAAATTAATTAGTGGGCGTGTGGGTTTCTCTGTTCTGAAGGCCTCTGTCCAAAACCTCCAACTCGTTTTATACCTCGCAGAAGTGTGTCTCCTTGCTCTAAGAGCCTTTGAATGCCAAGCCCTTTGAGTCCTGAAGCCAGCTCCTGGTGGCAATGTCTCCGTGCCTGGATTTGCGGGACGTGGCTATGCCAGGAATTCCAGGCCCTGGCTTGAGTGGAAAAACCACAGGTGAGACTTACCAAGGAGATGGAGGCAGAGGAAGGCTGGAATACACAAAACAAAGACAAGGATCTGAAAAAGGTACCAGATGCCCACTCTGGGGCATTTCTTCTCAGAGCGACACAGAAGAGGTAACCAAATTCCAGTCTTATCCAAACACCAAACAGGCCCCGTAACCACAGCTTGAAGCAGGGAAGTATCAACTCTCTCATACAACTGCTGCAGCCTCTGAATCAGAGGTCAGTTTGAACCTGCACACGTGCGCATAATCCATCTGAGCAGGGTAAGAGGGACCAAGGAAGTTCACCGCCCTGGAGCGGGGCTGGCCAGGCAGAGTGCAGGGTCTGACTCCCAGCCCCGTCCTGCCTCCCTGGGTGAATCTGAACAACCCATCCCGCCTCCTCTCTGAGCCTAGGGTTCCCCTCCTCCACACCTGAGAGACATGCGCACTGCCAACCTCACGAAGCTGCCCGGAGCAGTGGCTGAAATCACCTGAAAACACACAGGACAGCACCTATCGTCCAGCAAGGACTCTGTTCAAAAATTCTCATTTCCCCAAAAATATACTTTATTCTGGTTACACTTCAGGAAAACAAGGGTAAAAAGTAAAAAATTGTAATGAAACATACATACGCATATTTTGGCATCTAGAGAATTGTGATTTTCTAAACTATATAGACTAAAATATTTCCTATACATTATATACACTATTTTAAATGGGTACTTATAAAAATGAGAGCTGGGACTCTAGGTTCTACTTCCATTGAAACAGGCAATATTTGAGGCTCTTGGTTTGGAATGTATCTCTATAAGAGAAACCTATTGCAAATATGTATATATAGGTATACATTATATATACATATATAACTCTTAGACTTTTCGGACATCTAGTTCAAAATACAATTATTAAAAATCTACTTTTGTTGTACATATAAACTTCTAGAACTTACAGTATAAATCAGAACACTAACTGTGTATTCTTTATTCAAGCAAAGACAATATTTTTAAAAGTTGCTCTTTCCACAGCCAAGTCACAGCTACTTTAATACATATACTAGTTCTGACTATTTTTACTTCCTATAAAATAAATAATGAATTTTATGTTCCTAGATATGAAAGGTAGGTAGTGACGCCACCTCTGGCATTACAAGTGTGACACCCTCGAATCACCACACCAAGCGCATTATGGGAACAGCTGGTCCCACCCTCTTCAGGACAAAGCCCCCCAGATGCACGTCCTGGGTGACTACTCAGATCTGCCCCAAAAGGAAAAGCTAAGATGCTCAGAGGCCACAAGCACTGAGGCTTTATCTGTAAGGTGGTATTTGTTTTAACAAGGAGATTGGATTCATGTTACACATGGGTGATATAAAATGAACTTGAACATGGCTCTGAGGAAGAAGAAAAACTATAGCTGGACATCAGAAAGGAGGGGAGATCTTTTAGAAAAATAAGTGGTTCTCAGGACAGAGGAATGGTTTCAAGATAAAGGGGCTGCCAGTGAAATTATCTCAGTGAATCCATCACAAAATACTTTGAAACAGAGAAAACACAGATTGGATAAATGGCTAGACAGACAGACAGACAGCGACAGACAGAAGTAGGAAACCGATCCCATACGCTCAGTTGCGTGTTCATCCAAGCCTGCATGTTAACTACCAGACCTAACTCCTGGCCATCAGTGAGGACGAGGCTGAGGGAACGCTTCCCTAGGGCAGAATGGCTTGGGCTTAAGAAATCCCTCTTTGGTGTGTCTGCTGGGCACAGACACACTTACTGTACCCCTAAGGCAAGCACTTAGCTCCCAGGCCGCCCTCTGTAGTGGTCACTGGAGAGCAGACCCTGAGTCTGCACCACAAACTTGAAAAGAATCCTCTCCGAGGTTCTAAAATGCTTTTGGTTAGTTACTGGGTTGTTATTTGCTCTGTGCCCTCCCATCTTTACTCATCTATGGTACTTCCTGATCCCAGAGAGAAAGGGGAGGCCCTGGAGCAAGAGGGGATGAGCAGACACTCCATCTGGTTGTGCTGCTCTTGAGGGCCCGTCGAGTGTGACCCCAGGCTGTGCTGGAGCCTCCATCGAGCTCACTGGGCTTCTACTCCCATTAGAGATTTCTGTCCTATGACATCCCCAGGGTACAAAGGTTATATTATATAAGTGGGAAAAGCAGGACTCCAACAGCTTAAGTGCCTTCCTCTAGCTAAATGCTAGAGAGGCAGGAATTTAGGTTTTCCACCTTGGTTCTGTATTCTTTTGACTGCCCAATGGTTCTTACTTTGGGGCGAGCAGGAAGTCACAGATTCTTTATAAAATGTAATGACATTTGTGCTCTCTACCCCACAAAAAATGAAGCCACACAAACACTCAGTCATAAGATTCACACAATTTCAGGGAGCTAAGAGAAACCTTTAAAAGCCATCAGCAGTCCAATGCGGGGGGGGAGATTGGTTAGACAAAATTGCATAAAGAATCCTTGCACTATTGGTGGAACCATTTGGCTTTTTAATGGTAAAAGAAATTACCGAATACTGGAAATTTTATATGGACCTCCCTATAATATTGCCATGTGCGTGTAGATTTCAGATATTGGACAAGGGAGAGATTAACGCTCCAAGTTTCAGGGGATTTGACCTGGGGTCCGAATCTAACAGA